TTAAAGTACTTCCTACATGTACATTAGACTGAAGTATCATGACTCTTGTAATTTATTACTAATCTCATACATGATGAATTGATATTAAATACCTAAACAAAGAAATGGACCAGATCAATGGAGAGAGGGAAGAGCATTATAAATGGCAGTATATCTTTTCTCTTAGTCTTGTCGCCACACTGGGCGACGAGACTACTTTCCTCTTATTACTTCTCCTATTGCTTTAATTCTTGAATAGTCCACCCTCCTTCACCTGTCACTGGTTTAAAGTTTTAAACTGGTCCTACTTCACCAGTTGACAGATCAACTACTAATATCTTTAGATACCTTCACCATTGAATGAAGATAGTTCATTGGAGGCATTGTTATGATACTACCTCCACAAATGTATTTCTTAAATGCTTCATTTGGGCTACTCATTTGATCATTATAATAATAAATTAACTTCAAAATACAGTTCCAGGTTTACGTTCAAACTTTCATATAAAACCAACAGTCAGACACCAATTGCTGCACAAACTTGATTAAAACTAATCACTAGATGTATAATACATGATGTAGTTGAGTTAGTTTATGGTCCAAGCACAAGTTGCTAAGGGACCTTCAATGCATAGCATAGTCATTTCACTGTCTAGTGGATTGTAAAATTTTCAATAATAACAATAACAATAACAACAACAACAACAACAAGTGAAATAGAGCTATTCAACAAACTACAAATGATTGAAATGCACTTGGAAAATTAGTTTAAAAGCACCATTAATTTTAAAATATGAAGATAAAAAAATAATATAACACTTCAACATTAAATTAATCCAACCAAAGTCCATGTTAAAATTCGTATGCCCCGATTTTCTTCAACCTACAGTAATATAATAAATGAACTATCATAATAAAGATTATCTATCTTATTTGTATTTTATTTTTTAAAAGCTCATTACGAAAATGTAAAAATGATTTTTAACACTAATTTATTTTGAACCATTAACCTTGCTCTCTCTGCTTCTTGTATTTCTGATCTCTCTTTATCTGTTAACTCTTTCATTGTCTCTCTATTGTCTCTAAATAATTATAAACAGTAAGAGGTGTATGTAAGTGTGTGTGCTCATTAATACTTGTAATATATGACTTGTCCCTCATTCCAAATTATAAACGGTGAAAGGAAAAGACTGGGATGCCATTCTAACTTATTCTCAATATCAAAACATGACATCTCAACTGGAAATAATCTACTCTAAGAGTTAAAAAGAGAGGGAGGGAGCATCTTTAGCATGTTTTGTATCAATGATTAACCTCTGCACAATAGATATACTCAGTAGGTACTCCACTTAACTCTGACAGCTGTAAAAAACAATAATAATAACGATAATGATATACATACCTATTTATTCATAGCCTTACTGTACATTAATGTTAATATAACCTATAGACTTGTATTAGTGATTGGCAGTTTTACCATTATCAAATCTGCCATTTCACATGTGGCATGAAATTGAAAATTTGCCAACTACTGCATGTACTTATCACAGACAAATACAGTATATACAGTTTTAATCTTGTAGCATTATAACTACTTGTTTGAACAAGTACTGTCCCATGCAGTGCAGTGATAAAATTATGATTACCTTTTCATTTACATCCTTAGAATTATTATTATTCAATATAATTTCTTCTACTGGATCAACTGAAAATTGTGACGGACGCCATCTTATAACATATATCTGTATCTGCGAATGATGGTTCTTCATCTCTGGTTCTAATGAAAATTAATACAATAACCTTACTATAATCAAGTGAAGTACAGTATACTGATAATATCATATAGCAGCATTTATTGGTGAGGGACTAAATTTGGTGAGTTGGCAAATTTCAGGAAAATACCAAATTAAAATTGCCAATTATTAGCTGCCATGTGGTAAGAGATAACAAAGTTACCACAATTTAATCTACAAGCCATACAGTTTAAAATGAAAATATTAAGATTATGACTTTTCAGTGGTTCCACATATATTTCCCTCTCAGCACGAATCATTTGTTGATCAAGATATATTGCACCAGGGTACACTCCTCTCTTGCTACGTAACCTCATTCTACACAATAAGTCGCATAATAGTCACATAATAGTCACATGATGCATTTACTTGTCTAATTCAAGGACACAGTCAATTCCTTGTACTTTTGCTTCTTCAATAATTTGTTTCTTAAATTCTCTCACTTGTGTATTCTCAACAACAATAGACTCCATCATAAACTTACAAAACTAAAAATAAAATAAAATAGTTGACAAATCAATAAGGGTAAAAAATTCTTACTTCTGCATTATTAACTAGTAATAGATATAGTTTAATTTTGCACTCTACCTCTCGTGATACTCTGCTCCGTGTTACCAAGAACTAGACAAGAAACAAAGACATGAAATAATAATCAAAAATGAGAGAAACAGTGTGAAGTGAATCAAACAATACAAATGTACTACAATGTACCTCTGATCCAGAGTCAACATTCACTAATGTCATATCCAGTCTCTTCATTTCATGTGCCTCATGACCACTAATTTTATGATACACTCTAAAATTAGTAGATGATACACCAATCAGGGGAGCTAGCTTCTCCTTTAATTGAGCTACTGTTATTCTCTTATCAACTCTTATCTGTATTCCTGTTTTATTCAAGTTCTTTAACACCATATAGCAGAAAATATTGGAGGGACTTAAGTTTAGCAAATTGTTAAATTTTAGTGATTGGACAATTTTTAATTTGGCAAATGGCTATCAAAACACCAAATTTAACTCCTTCCAAAATTTCTCGCTATACAGTAAATAATATCATTAATATGCATACTGTTTTCTTTTTCTTTCTTTGACATGAATATTGCTCCTTCTCTTACATCAGGATCAATAGAATCTTCAAGGAGAGTGGCTTCAGGTTGAGGAGGCATTTTAATGTTCAATAGTATTGAGTTGAAGTGAATATCAAGATATCTATACATCAAACTATCTTTGTAGTCTTTCTGACAATCTTCAGGATCTGATGATACACACAGTAGCTAAGAAAGAAAGGAGAGAACATGTGTGTGTGTGTGTGTGTGTGTGTGTGTGTGTGCGTGCGTGTACACACACAATGGGAATCTTATGGGATCAAGAAAGAGCTACATGCACATGTCATGTATATGAGAAAATACTGATACAAACAACTCATAAATAATTCTCTTTGATGTTTTGACGACTAATAAGGTATTAAAATTGTGTAAATCCCGGGGCCGAGCCGGGGCCAGAAAAGCATACACGCTTGCTTTCACAAATTTTGATTTAAAATGTTAAAATAGCCATTATTACTCATAAGAGCAATAGAGAAAAGTCTGCAGGCTCTTCTTCCAAGAATAAGACCTTCCTCTTGCTCTTCTACACTGTGGATAGCACACTAGAATGATCTTCACCGGTGTCATCCAGCACATTTGGCCCCTTTGTCAGTCAAAGCAGTCCTAGGGTCACATCAGCGTAAGATCAGCTTCACTCATCCATTTCTTCAGCCTTCTTATTGCACCAAACTGACTAAACAGTAGTCCAATCTTCCATTATTTCTCTATGAAATGTGCAATCCGCCGCAATGCCCCTGAGCTGTGCACTATGACACACAGTGGGTTCACAATGCAGCAGAACAGCTACATGTATAATAGCATTCGTTGTTTATATCGGTTTAACACCCTAGTTGGGATTACAAAATTTTAAACTCTTGAGCTTCGCCCTCGGGTTTAAAATTTTGTAATCCCTCCTAGTCAGTGTTAAACCTACATATAATACTATGCAAGTAATTATATCTCATCAATATAGTTTGAACACTGGAAAATGAAATAAATTTTTATAGACATGTACTAGTAGAATAAGAAAGAATGAAACTTTTTAGGTTCTCAGTCACAAATACCACCAGAAGATCTCAGGTCTTAAGTTTCTCAGCTCTTGGGAACCTTGTGAACAAGGTTTTCCCTATAAACTCAATGGCATACCAAAGCTTAACGCAATGATGTTTAATGACAAAAATCTCTAATTATTGTTAACATCAAAATTAAGCTGACCCATTCAAAGACAACATAAAAAGATAATCTAAGGAATTATAAGTTGGAGAAACTGAGAAAGCTTTATCAACTTCAAACACTGCAACTGGTTCAAAAAACTAGCATACATGTATTTGAAGGTTAAAAATCATTTGAAAAGAGTGATGAGTTCTATGAATGATGAGGATATAAAGAGAATATAGAACTCTGATGAGATTGTGTGACTTTTGTTCGTCAGCAACAAGGGGACAAAGAAAATAAGCACAAAACAATTGGAGAAGTGGTAGTGAAATATGTGAATACATTATTATGTGGAATTGATGGATAAGAGGGAGCCATGTTCTCCGTATGAGATAGTGGGCTAGTTTCCCACAGTGGTCCAAAAATGGTCACACTAATGGACATTTTAGCTCATTTAAATTTGCTATGAATATCATTATAATACATCATTAGTGACGGTGTAGCTACATTTTAAACATTCAAAGCAGCTACGGTCAAACTCAGTTGGGATCATAGTATACATGTAATTTCAATGTACATATAAGTGACATAGTTCTTACAGGTCGTGCTAGTCGCTTGTGTCTATATGAACTAAATGATTCTCCTCTAAACAGTACTTCCCTTAAAGAAATTTCAGCATTTTGTAAGTGTCTAAAATTATGGGCTGAATAATCATCATTGTACTCCTCCAATATTAATCTCATACATGATGAATTGAGATTAAATAACTAGAAAAATTAGCCAATCAATAGAGGGAAGACAGG